CCAGCAAATACAATATCAATTAGAACCGTGACGCAGTTATTTCTTCTTCTCCTGAGTTCAGCAAGCTTCTATTTTTAGACTCACACGTGGTCACAAACAAAACAACAGTCACAGAGTCTCAAACTGTCCAGTAGATTGTCCTTGGAGCTCGTCTTGTGATCTTCATTAACCCCTTAATGCTCCTTAGTCCAGTTAGCCACGTCAGCTCCTTCTCCCGAAAACCACCAGATTCAAGGAAGGAAGGAAGGAAGGAAGGAAGGAAAGAGCAGAAATTACCAGTTACCCAGCTGGCTTTGATATTTGTGATGGGAGTTGGACACCCTGCCAACGTTTGCCACTTCTAGAGGCTTCCCACAGGCAAAGCATGGATTGACAGCTGTTTGGTGGCTTCTGTGAGTTGTAAGTCCAATCCATCGGGAAGGCACCTGTCGGGGAAAAGCTGTTGCCGAGACCGCTCCTTGATTTGCCACCTTGAAACTTTCCCTGCGCCCTCCCCACCCTAAACCTTTCCTAGCAACGTCTTATTAGCTCAATATTTTGTAAGTTTCGCTTGGTCCCCATTAAAAAAAAGATTGAAATACTCTTTGGATATATATGTTTCCCTCCACCCTCCACCCCTTAGGGAGCAACACAGCTGCCATGGATTTTTTTATTTGGTTTTTTTTCCTTTTAAAAACCCTTTCCTGTCCAACTCTGAGGCTGACTCAAACATCATCCTCGGAGGCCTGGGTTTAGGCAAGCTGTTTCAGCTCCCTGGTTCACCAAACTCCCCGGCAGAAGGAGGGAGTTCAGGAAAGCAGGGTCGAAGTGGTTCTGCCAAACCGGGATGGCTCCAGTTTGGCCGAGACCCAAGTTCCTCCCAACGAGGTCGGCAACCGGGTCCCGTAAAGTTCCACATGGCCTTGCATAATACGAGGAGGCATCTGCCTCTCATTAAGCCATTAGGCAGAGCTCCGTGTGTACCTTGGACCCTGGCCAGCGCCGCACGCAGCTTGGGTGGATTTTGGTGCCACCCGCTCTGCGCCAGCTGGGACTGATGCATTAAGCAGAAACAGTTGTGCAAGACTTAATCAAGCGGGGGGGGGTAATGAGAGGAGGAGGACTCTCGTGAAAGGAGACAGAGATCCTGAAGATGGATCCTCTCACTCTCTTGCGGTCCAGGTAAGAGGATACAGTGAGGATCTCCGAGGTTCACCTAGTCCAGCTCTCTGCCAAGGCCGGAATTCCACAGGTAGAGGAGCCCTGGTACAGGAGTCTAGGAGACGGAGGGGCACAGATCTCTGGATTTCAACTAGAAGCCGAAGAACTCTGTGGCACCAAAAATCAGCATACGGGGATTTCAGACTTCTAGCCCAGCAGGGTCAACTCTTAACTGATGGCCGTTTTTCCCCTTAGCCGTGCCCGGAGATGCCTGGCGGTCTCTTGTCCAGATATTAATCACACTTGATTCTGCTTATTCTGCTGAAATCAGAAGAGACCAGGCATCTTCGGTGCGGGTTGGTGATATGGTGACATCCGGGTGTCCATCCTCTGTTTAAAATCCTCCAGGGGAAAAACAGACCGCCACCTCCAGAGGCATCTCCCTGATCCTTCGTCACCTTCTCTTTTTTTGACAGTTCAAAACTCACTGGTTTCAGTACTGTGAAGAAGGACAGTCCGGAGCTGCGCCGGCCAAACTACGCTTGTAACTCCTGTGTGTTTGTTGAGCCGATTAAAAACAAAAAAAGTGGTATTTCAGCATGGAAATATCCATTATCCATCAGCAGAAACCCCTTGATCCGTGCCCAGGAGTCAGGAGCAAGGTCCAGTCACCACAAAATCCGTAGCATTCACCACACACAGATTTGTATCGGTCATTTTCTCAACTGAAAAAAAAAACCTTGTCGTTAAGCTACTAAAAACATAAAACATTGGATTTGGAAGAAGTGAGTCCCCTTTGCAGTGTAATCTCTATTAGTGAAAAAAAAATTCCAGACACTTAACTTGGATTCGATTCGATTCCTGAAAACCGATTTGATTCTGATGCAAAGATATCTATTCACTTACTTCTTGGCCTCACTTCCCAGCCGTGTCTCCCGTAAGATTCTTGCAACCATGCAGGTGGGGCTGTGTTGAGTTCATTGTATACTTATTTCATGGATTTATTCCACAGCCCTTGAATACTCGGCTTCGTTGTTCCGGCTACTGTTGTTGTGCGAGGATCTGTCGCGAAGCCACTTATCCTCTCATTTGGGTATCTTTTAGGGCCTCCAGGACCCAAAGGAGAACAAGGCAACGAAGGGATGGAAGGCGAGCCCGGCCCTCCAGGATTACCTGGACTACAAGGTAAACCCATCTTTACAGGGAAAGTGCTTCTTGTGTCCACCCTGTGCAGGCGCTGGATTGGGGTGAGGAAGTGAGGACCAAATCCAAACCATTTTGGGTCTTTTTTGCTCTGTATTTGGAGCAAATATTGTGCTCCGTGGTTTTCTAGGGAGCAGGATCTGGTTTATTTGAGGGCATCTCCCCTTAGAAAGAGATTCCACGGGGCAGGTGGGAATCCTGGAGAGCAGCTGCCCGTTCATATTGGCCAGACCGGACAGAAGGTGGAGAAGTTATCGTATTTTTCGCACCATAAGACGCGCCTTTCCATAAAACGCACCAATTTTTTTAGGAGAAGAAAACAGGAAAATATAATCTGTTTTCTTCGCTCCATAAGACGCACCCTGTTTTGTGGAAAAAAGTGTGTCTTATGGTGCGAAAAATACGGTACATTTTAGAATGTAACTTCAGTCCTCAGAATCTCTCACTGGCCAGATGGATCTGGGATCTGTCATCTTAAAAAACAACAACAACCAAAGACCTTTTCCAATCTGAGTTGGACTAAATTGACCAACAGATTGGTTAAAGCCGGTTTCATATGCTTTCCCAGTAACTGGGTTCGAATATTCGGGAATCAGGTGGGTGTTTCCTGCCGTCTTTGGCTTCGTCCCCCAAGGGATTATAAGGAACTGTTGGCTGGCTGGAGAGAGGCTTCAACCCAACCGTTCTCAGTGGGGTCCATATGCCCCCGTGGGTCCCCACCCCACCCCGGCACATTTGTAGGGGGCCACAGACTGGAAACAACTCTTCGCAACCACCTTATTCACTATGGAACTTACAAAATCCTGATCAGGCCTATGTTTCTTTCATATGGCGTTTATGGCTGCAGCCAAATAAAAGTTGAGAAAAGGCGGCTTTCAAACTGCCCAAAATGGACAGAGAGCACATCGTTAGAAATTCTCAAGTCCTAAAAGTCCTAAATTCTCAAGTCCTAAAAGACATCTGAGGGCTCGCCGGCTGGCTTGCTTTGTTTTGCGATTGGCCATCGGAAGGTAAACCGGGCTTCATTTGGAAGTCTGATTGCTCGGATATGAAGCTTCCTCAGAATCGTGTTTCTGAAACACTGCTTTTATTGATGCCTGGCCTGTAATATCTGTCTGATCTCCTGATGCATTTGCAACCCCAGGAAGCGTCCCTGTAAGTCAGAATTGCCTCGATGGTGTACAATGGTGATGTAAGATTGGGAACTACCCTTTCTGGGAGTGCAAGAGCGCCGAGCGCCTTTCAGCTCTTCCGCCCCCTCTCCCCGGACGCTTCCATCCGTTCACCTGCCAATTCCTCTTCACGGTTTCCTTTCCACAAACGAGACCCTTGGGTTGTTTGTTTATTCCTTTTAACGGCACCCTCCCTTGGAGAAACGAGCACGCCCTGCGTTTATACTGGAGCTGAGTGGCTAACCGCTAACCAGATGGCTTTCAGGCAGGAAACCAAAGGTTCGCCTCTGCTGCTTGAACGCAGATCCCTCATCGGCTTGGGAGGAGCCAACCGGGTGGGTAGAATTTCCCGGGGCTTCGGATCTCTATTCTGCGGGTTCCCTAAGTGAGCCTCTTAAGGTTTTAGGAAACATTTCTGCCCCCCCTTCCTCAAAACCTCTGTTTGTAGAGGGAAATTAAATTAAAGCCCTAAAGGAAAACATGATTTTCTAGCTAAGTGGAAGCGTATGTTATGTACATTGTAAACGTTCCTGGCTGAAGGACCGAGTGCCGCGTCTTTAACTACCTGTCGTCACTTTGGATCCCTCCTTGGGGTGGCCGGGGGCCATGGGGCGTGGTGGCCCCACAGCACCGCAGCATGGAATACCTGCTGACAGCCAACATTAGGATCTGCTTATGGGGAGAGGCTTTATATCTGTGCTTCCTCACTATGAGTCCCCAGGTGTTCTCGGACGAACGCTCTCAGAAATCCTGGCCGGCACAGCTCGGGGTGAAGGCTTTAGGGAGCTGTCGTCCAAGAACATCTAAGGAGTCAAGGTGGGGGACCGCTGCTTTGTATGACCGTATTTTCAGGCAGAACCATGGATTTTGGAGTCTCTGCTGTTTTGTCCCATTTGTGCGTGTTTGCTGCGGATGCCTTGTGCATCTCTTGCTGTGTATCTCTGCAGGTCATTCTCAAAGAGCTTAGAGAAGTTCTGTTTTCAGAATGCTCCTCATAGTCATCGTGTGAGGTGTGGGAGCTGTAGTCCATCTGAGCAGAGTTGACATCTGAGCGTATAGCCTGGAGGCAGACAGTGCATCACGGCCTCTCCCAATTTGAAGAGATCCTTGTCCAGCAGGCCAAGGCAAAGTGGAAGTCACGAAAGCAGCAAAATTGGGGAGCTGGGCAGGGGACAGATTGCGTTTGTCTTCAGTGTGGAAGGGGTGGTCCCTCTCGAATTGGCCTTCTCAGCCACAATAGGACTCAGTTCCAAGACCTCCATTCAGTGCACGTGACCATCGTTTCTCAAGACTGAAGGATGCCTAATCTGTAGTCCAGAAAGGAACTTTTCCAACTTCTCTAGTTCCTCTATCTTGGCTTCTTTTTAGAATCTGGCACCAGTATGGTGAGCTGGCTTCGCCCCATCTGTTCAAACCTGACCTTTCCAGGTTTAGTCCCCTCCCATTTAGACTACTGCAGGGTGGCCCGCATTGGGCTGCTCTTGGAGACTGGTTAAACAAATGCAGATGAGAGCAGCTGCATGGAGTCAAGAAGACCTGATGTCTCGTGGGAAAAGTTATTTTTTGGGACTACCAGAAGTTGCTAACCAGCCTAGCCAGGAAAATTCTGGAAGCTGTCAACCGAAAAGGAGCTTTCTGCAAAATCTGATAATGGCTAAGAAAGTCTGAAACTCTTAAGAGTTCTGGATCTGGGTGGCCACAACTCCGATTATTCTTTTCCCGTGAACTCATTAGGTAGCCTTAGGCTACTGATTCTCTGTTAGCCTCCGTTTCTCTGCCTGTAGAAAAACGATCTAGCATTCTCCTTCCGTACAGGGTTGTGGTTGGGATTTCAACTGTAACAACAACAGCATCAGCATGTGGTTGGGATTTCAACTGTAACAACAACAACAGCACCAGCAGCAGCAACAACAACGATGATGATGGTGGTGATGTTGATGATGATGTGCTATGAAGTCAATGTTGACCTGATGATGATGATGTGCCATCAAGTCAATGGTGACCTTACGGTGACCTTTTTTCAGAGTGTTCTAGCTAGGGAATACTCAGAAGTGGTTGGCCATTACTTCCTTCTAGGGGTGCCCTGGGACTGCACAGCTGGCCCAAGGCTACCCAGGATGGCTCTTCTCCCCAGAAGCACCCAATGGGGAATCGAACTCTCAACCTCCAGCTCTCCAGCCAAAGACCTAAACCACTGAGCTACCCAGCCAGCTCAACAGCATTAGGCCTCTGAAAAAAAAAACTTTAGAAACTCGCCAACTATTATGACAATGCGGTTACAGCAACATGTAATAGTACAGAAGGAATTCGTCCAATGTGCCTTGCTGGGAACGGCAGGATCCTCCATGTTTGTGTCCCTCTATTCGGAACCCTCTATTCTGGTTTTTTTTTTAAAAAAAGAATTGGTCTATCAGTCAAACTTTCAGAAAGGGGAATTAGAATTAGAATAATAGCCTCAATTAGAGCAGTTCATTCAATGACTAGAAATAACAATAACAAGCAAAATAAAACGTCAGTAAAAATATTTTTTTCAAACCCCAACCACCACCGAGAAATAAAGCCAGAGCATAAAAACCATTCTTCGTGGGAAGGCTCAAGAGAAAAATAATGTCTGCACTTGGCAGTCGGAGGATCGACGCCTCCCAACAGCTGGTTATGTGAATACCCTCCAAGGATCTGTTGCCCTGGTCCCCCTCATGCTGTTTGCTGTAATTTAATTTTACTGTTTGGATTGGATGAGATTAATGGCTCGTAACACATTTTTAAAAGGGGAGATGTGCAGAGCCTTGGTTTCGGCATAATCGCACTTATAGATTGGGGGTGGGCAGGGGAGGACATACGTGCGTGCCTGCAAACAAACATCCACAGAGGAAGCATGGATCCGTGCAGAGCCCCTGTTATATATTGCAGAAGGTTTGAATCCTTGCATTTTCAGGGAAGACTAGGGGGGAAGGAAAAAAATCAAGTCTGAAACCTTGAAATGCTCTTTCTGTGAGTCAGAGTGGGTGATACTGGGCTCGATGGAACCAGGGTCTGCCTTGGAATGAGACCGTTTCCTGTGCCTTGAGAGAAAACGAGAGAGGAAGCACCGTGGCTATATGTTTAATGAATGCAACATGTGTCCACAGTATACCTGTGTCAAAATGCGGCCGGCCACCAGCCCAATGCAGGGCCCACCATTGCCTCCACCGAGCCACCAGGTCTGCCAACACACCTGCCGACAGCAGCAACTGGACAAGAAAGGTGGAAAATACAATTTTGTGTGCATCTCCTTTAATGCTAGGGGTTGGTGGGAGCATGCTCTGTATCTGCCTTTTCTCCACCCTCACTGCTCTCTCTCTTTGGAGAGCAGAAAAAGGAGGAGAGAGGCTCGGTGGCTACCAAATGAAGCAACGGGAAGGGACAGGTGGTTTCCAAGACAGTGAGGGTGGAGAAAGGGCAGATACAGAGCATGCTCCCACCGACCCCTAGCATTAAAGGAGACCCATGCAAAATTGTATGCTCCCACCCATCCCTTCCCGTTGCTTTGTTTGGTAGCCACCGAGCCTCTCTCCTCCTTTTTCTGCTCTCCAAAGATAGAGAGCCATGTGGGAGAAAGTTGCATATATAGAATAACTAGGAACAATGGGCTTTTGTTTCTTTTCACTAAGAAGCATCCAGTTTGATCATTCAAGAAAAAGGGTGAGACTGGGCAAATCTCTCCGTGTTTTTATCTGAACGAAAAAGAGGAGAGCTAAATTCCAAATCCTTCCAACCCGTGATGGGTGAGGCGGTGCTGAGGATCGTGACCTCCTGGAGTTCATCAGCTCACCACCCTCAGTGTGGCCGCCATGCTGGCATTACTGGGGTCCTTACCCCAGAGGTGGGATAAGCAGAATTAATGACCTCACGTGGTGGGAAGCTCCCCAACACAGAAGACTTAGACCCAGTGACTGAAAAAACTGGGCACGTTTAGCCTTGAGCAAAGAAGACGGAGAGAGGAGAGCGCTTTCCAAAGACTTGAAAGGTTGCGATCCAGAGGAGGGGCAGGATCTCTTCTCCATCCTCTCTCCCAGCACACGCAATAAGGGGCCCAAGCCTACGGGAAGCGAGATTAAGGTGGAATATCACAAAAAAAAGCTTCTTAAGTGTCTCAGCAGTACAACAATGGATAGCTCAGGGGTTCAGGTCTCTGCCTGCAGGGCTAGAGGTTGGGAGTTCGATTCCCCCACGGGGCCTCCCTGAGATGGGCTGGACTGGATGATCTTTCGGGACCCCTTCCAGCTCTGCTGTTCTAAGATTATTAGCCGGCTGGATAGCTCAGGGGTTCCGGTCTCTGGCTGCAGGGCAAAAGGTTGGGAGTTCGATTCCCCCATGGGGCCTCCCTGAGAGGGGCTGGACTGGATGATCCTTAGGAGCCCCTTCCAGCTCTGCCATTCAAAAGGATGGAACCAACTAACCTCGGGAGGTGGTGAGCGCACCAACGCTGGAGGCATTCAAGAGAAAATGAGACAATGATCTGTCAGATCTGCTTGGATTCGGATTCCTGCCTGGAACAGAGGGTAGGACTCAGTGGCTTTAGAGCTGCCTTCCAACTCCATTATTCTTTGATCCTATGATTCTAATCTGGGGAAAGCAAAAAAAATTCCAGATGAATGGATGGGAGTACAGAAAACCATCTTGTGATGGGAATTCCCTTCTGGGCGTTATAATTGCTGTCCCAGCTTTATTTCACCCGATCCAGGGTTTGCAACCCCCTTTGATAATAGCCAAGTAACTTGTGCCCCCCCCCCCCCAAGCCATGTTTGCATTAGATTAGGCATCCTTCAGTCTCGAGAGACGATGGTAACATGTTCTGTATGGGGGACTTGGAACAGCATCTAGTGTTTTGATACTGTATGTGAAGCTGGAGTGTCCTCTCCAGGGCACAAAGCCTGGGTAAAATAATATGGAGGATAGGCTGTTACCCAAGCAGCAGATCCCCCCTCTCCATGTCACTGAAATGGTCCAATGGAAAGGCAAGAGCCAATACAACTGGTTCCAGTGATGTCGCAGGAGTTGGCAGAACGACAAGAGCTGGCTTCGGGCCTCCGGCTCCGGATTTTGCCTCGAGGTTAACTCCTGAAGCCTTTTCCATCGGTGGATATAGCCACAAGGCAGTGGAGGTTTGAAATCGGAGTTTTCCTTCTCCTAGATGGGCTGCCTTCCAGGGCTGATGAGCCTCCGGTGTTTGTATATAAAGGCATTTTTCATGAGGCTAAGCCATCCCTTCTCAGAAAGTAGAGACTTCTTTCTCTCCCCCCTCCCTGTTTCTCCTGCATACACATACACACTAATGTTAATATCCTGCTCTGAAAGGTCAAGGAAAAAATGATTAAAGAAGTGACTCATGCCCCCCCCATCCTCAGTAAACACTTTGTGACTCCCTTGGTGTCCAACCACACGGTCGCTCCTCTTCAGTGACTCCTCCAAAATCTCTTCCCCTTTTCACCCCAGGTTGGGCTGTGCCTCCCGACCTTCCCTGCCCTGGCCTTTTGTTCGAAACCTCTTTTTTAACACCAGAGGAGGGAAAAGGTGAGAGACGGAGTGGCTCTTTCCATGCGCCAGAACCTTGGAGAGATTCAGAGCAATTAAAAAGGAGCCTGGCTCCAGATCCTCCCAGAATTTGCTCCAGTTCCTCTCCGGAGCTTTCCACCGAGTGGCTGAACAGTTAATCATCTCTCCTCGTAACAGACCCCACTCTTGTCAGAACAGATCTCGTTCCCAAGACCAACGGTTCACAAGGGAGGCATTTTTATCTCATTTATAACCACGGAGTTGGAAGCCCTCCTAAAAAAAGAAACGTTCACCTTTGTCTCCGTTTAGAGAAAGTCGACACTGATCGTTCCTCTGGGCGCCCAGTTCTGTAATGTTAGGTTAGTGTCATGTTGGGAAGAGCACTCTGAAATTGAGAGTGCAGTCAACCATTGAGAATCCCTGGTTTGGTTTTACAGGCGCCGTACGTTTCCGCCCGAGAAAGGCATCCCTGTGCTCCAGAGACGTCACTAAAAGCATCTCGTTGGTGTAACGAGCGGAAGGCGCTGCCTCTTACCAAGAGAGGCCATTGCTATGTTCTTGATTCAGACGGGCACCCATCACTCTCCAGGGATTTGCACTCAAGTCTTCCTTGGGCTTGCCTGGAGACGCTGGGAATTCCACCAGAAACCACCTGCATGCAAAACAGAATCATAGAATATAAGGCCATTGAGTCCAATCCTCTGCTGAAGGCAGGAATACAAAGGAGATCTGCCAGGTGGTGGTCTAAATTTCTCTTGCATGCCTCCAGGGTTAGATCACTCCCCACCTTCCGAGAGGTTGGGTTCTGTTGTCCTACTGCTCTAAGAGTGGTCTTAACCGACCAGATAGGCGGGATATAAATAAAATAAATAAATAAAATAAGAGTTAGGACATTTTTCCTGATCATCAACCGAAATCTGGCTTCCTTTAACTTGAGCTCATTCTTACGTGTCCTGCACTCCGGGATGATCAATAACAGATCCTGCCCCTCCTCCAACAGGGATGATCAATAACAGATCCTGCCCCTCGTCCAACAATGGAGCACTCGCCACCTCTCGAGGTCATTGGTTCCATATCCCAACTTGGCATTCCCAAAGGTCAGGAGCAATTAGCTTTGTATTCCAGGTGTGGTCAAAGGATGCCTTCACTGGACTAGAAATGTCAAGGAGGCTGGCACTCCTCACATGCTTTCCAGGCTGGTAGACTGAAGACCTGGACCATCAGCGGATTTCCTTTCTGAAGAACCAGAGGTTGACAAGGGCTCAGCAGGAGACCCAGCTGATGCAGATGGGTCATTGGCTTTTGTTTTGGAAAATTCTGGAATGAGTATCATCTGAGCGACAGTACTCAGCCAGTGCAGGAGGGATGCATGGAACGGGCAGGAACTGGCAAGGAGCTAAGTGTAGAACTTCTACAGGCAGGTGGGAATCTGATGGGAACTTTTCCTGCACAGTGGAGGTTGAGCAGTAGTTGATGGCACTGGGTTTTATCCCACCATCCTCGATCCCAGGCCTTTATTTTTCCCATTTTTAGTCTCTCCGCCATTCACAAACATACAATTATCTATTTTTTTAAAAAACAACAACAGAATAACTGGGTCATCTCCAAATCAGCCCAAAGTGAATTTGTTCCAATTTGTAAGACAAATTATTCGATACGAATGGAATCACATGGCATTTGCACAAACCTGCTCTCACTTTCCCCACTATCTCTTTGGTCTGTCCTTACTAGATTTATTAGCAATTTCTCACAGTTAAAGGTGGCATCAAAAGCTTCAATCATTTCCTTGCTGTTTCCTTTTTTTCTTCAGAGCCCATTTTTTTTGATACTTGCAGAGTTCATTGTTAGTAGCAAATGAGATCAATGACTATAAATCCGTCATCTGACTTTTAATTGGGGCATTGATCGCAAGATGACATCCAGCTGAACTGAAATATAATGTCTTATTAGATCTTTGAACAGTCAGACCAAAATCATTTAACACTGACTCTAAACGAAACGAAACTGAGGAATCATCTGCGTCAGGATGTTGAATTTCTGGTGATAAGTTATATCATTAGAATACCATGTTGTGTGAGGACATTAATGGAAATATTAAGTTATAAGTTACATATGTATTGATAGAAAACATTTTAAAATAGGTACCTATCCATACTTTGCCCTGTTTCATAGCCGGGCACCTAAAAAAAATCTACCTTATGCTTTAGCATTTTTAATTGGGGGATTTCCATCATTGTCTCATCTCAGAATAATTTTCATAAATTATAGCCCCAAGGGATAGCCTGTCTCTCGTTATAGTCAAAGATGCATCTGTGGCTTATAATTACAGTAGGACTGCAGTATACATGGGAGATAAAATAAATAAATAAATAAATAAGATCAGCTGCAAGCCCCCTGCGATGCTGAAAAATGTGCAAGTAGTGAACATTATACATAGCCCTGTCTTTGTCTCCATCTAGTGGCTAGTTTTGGTAAATACACCATGGAAATGCATATTTCTGTGTTTGTTTTTTTCATTTAATATTTTAAGGTAGCGGATTAGTGCATCCAGCAGATGCCGATTGAGCAGACAGGGGTTGTTGGTTTTTCTTTTCCTGTCAGAGCAAGCTTTTTGGTTGCAGTCTGGTAGACTGAACAAAAGAGGAGAGCCGGTTATTAGGTAGCCACCTCGTTGGCATTTCTTCTTCCATGAAATAAGCATGACATTTCTGGAGGAGTCCACCCGATCTTGACTCGAACCCTTATTGCTCGTGTTTCTTCGTTCGATTCCAGGATTCCCAGGAGAACGAGGACCCGTGGGCCCGCGGGGGCCGAAGGGAGACCAAGGAGACATCGGCCCTCGAGGCATACCTGGCCAACGTGGAAGCACAGGTATCTGTGTGTGTAACTTCCCAGGCTCTGATCTCTCTGATTCCCATCCCCAGGATTTGAATAACAAAATGGTCTATAAAATCACGACAGTCCAACATGGGGAGTCTGTTTGAGAAGTCTTTACATTCCGAAACATCCCTCCTGCCTTTGAGAGTGTATGGATACGCCCATTTTGTATCTGAAATAATTTCAGCTATTTTGTAAACGGTCAAGCCAGCTGCCCCCACTGTCTTTTCTTTTATTGAAGCGCTGGGCGTTCTTGTTGCCCATTGCATCTCCCCAGAGCTCGGGAATGTTGCTATTGTTGTTTTTAATTTTGTGGACTATGACACCCAAAATACCCAGGCCACGGTGGTGGACATGGTCATCCCAAAATAACATCTCCAAAGGTTGGCATCTGGTGTGGATTGCTGGGGACCGCCGGTGGAAGCATTCAAAACACCTTGAAATGTTAGATAACGTTATTTGGGTTTCAGAACGAAGCCATCGGAATATGACGCTCTGGGTTCCGGAGTCAGTCTTGACCCTCCCTATGGGACTGTTTTGATCAGATAAACTTGAAGGGCATCCCTATAATAATTATTCCGTGGGATTGGATCGACGTGTAGGCTGCTAAGCACAGCCCAACTTGGCTTCCTTCTGTAACCTGTGCTTCTTCCCGATCTTTGGAACGAAAAGTCGATGCAGAACATCAAATCGGAGGCAGAAACGGGCACCCCTAGAGAACAGCCAAAGGCTTTTCCCCTCTCAAAATCCTCTGGGAGCTTTGTTCTTGTCTTTAGGAGTGTGTGAGGTGTCCTGTGTGTGTTCTTTGGCTGTATGACAGGGTTTTTTTTATCCCTCTTCCCAAACTGGCACTGATTCCCCCCCCCCCGTTTTCCAGCCTTAACTCTCAAATCACCTTGCAAATAAAAATTCTAATGCGAGCTAGTAATAATTTCCTCCATCCGTTCAGCTGTGTTGCAACCAAACCAGTTCATATTTTTTGGGTCCAGGTTTGACTGTTTCATTGGTCTTTGCTGGTGCATTATTTTAGATTTTGCTGGCAGGTGATTTTAGCCCCTGCCCCCCCCAAAAAACCTGTCACTTTTTGCAGGTGGAAAGGGGACGGGTCTCTCTTAGGAACCAGAAGAAGGCACAGAGCAGCCCCCCAGAGGGAGTTTCGACTCCCACACCCATGATCCCTAGTTAGCAAGGTTAAGAGAGAGATGCGGGACGGGGATGGGACCATCTTTGACCACACCTAGGGAGTAGCTTCCTGCCTTCCCTTCTTGTAAATTGAGTTTTTCCTGGTGCCCGGTGCCCCATGGCTCTCTCTTTCTCTCTCATTCCCGTAACTCTTTCTGCCCTGCAAATGGGGTGCCCGTTCTGTCCTTCCAGGAAAAACTTTCCAGGTCCGGGTGCCATTTCCAAATGCTTTGGGACTTGCACAGCCAGGGAAGCACGGAAAATGGGCATCTCAGCTGCCAAGCAAAGGGACCCTGTTTTACCATTTAAGCAGCCGCCACCTCTGTTCATGTTTCTCTCTCTCTCTCTCTCTCTGGCTCCCAACACCTTTCCCTATAAAGGACCGGCTTCTTTCTTTCCACCTCTGGAAACATGTCGGCTGCCAGCCCACCATTTGATAAGTAACCAGGCCCGAAACTGCCTGAGACTCATGGGCAGATTAAATTTGCTTTTTTGGCCCCAGCCAAGCCGTTCCCTGTTAATGCTGTAGCTAATTAAACACACCAGGTTCCAGAGCAGGTTTGGATGTGTGTTGACAGCCATCCACAAACGCCTTGAGGTGGGGGCTCTTCGTAGGTCTTGGCTTCATAGAAAATGAGGACCCCATTAAACTGAAAATGGGTCTTCTGTGGTATGACCAGGTAGAGAAGGGGACTGGCAATCATCCAAAAAGGAAGTAAGTAAGTAAGTAAGTAAGTAAGTAAGTAAGTAAGAAAGAAAGAAAGAAAGAAAGAAGGAAGGAAGGAAGGAAGTAAGTAAGGAAGGAAGGAAGGAAGGAAGGAAGGAAGGAAGGAGCTGATGGATGGAGGGATGGAGGGATGGATGGAAGGAAGGAAGGATATAATTGGACACAGGTATGCATAAAATGGGACGTGGTGGTGCTGCGGGTTAAACCGCAGAAGCCTCTGGGCTGCAAGGTCAGAAGACCAGCCATCGTAAGATCGAATCTACGCAACGGAGGGACCCCCTGTCACTTGTCCCAGCTCCTGCCAACCGAGCCATTCGAAAGCATGTAAAAATGTGAGTAGATAATTAGGTACCACCTCGGTGGGAAGGTCAGGGTGTTCCATGTCTAGTCACGGTGGCCACGTGACAATGGAAACGGTCTTCGGACAAAACGCTGGCTCTACGGCTAAGAAACGGGGATAAGCACTGCGCCCTAGAGTCGGACACAACTGGACTCAATGTCAAGGGGAACCTTTACCGTTACTATGCATAAAATGGCTTATCCTGGTTTACATGCACGTACACAACATTACAGATGATGATGATGATGATGATGATGATGATGATGATGATGATGATGATGATGATGATGATGATGATGATGATTTTTATATACAGAGTCACAGTATGTCTGACTCAGATAGGGAAAACTACGCTGACATGAGCAGGTGGCAGAAGGTTGAGTCAACCCTGAGCCAGCTCCCTGAGCCTGGGATTAGACTCAGGTCCTGAGCAGAGTCTTCCCTGCAGCATTGCAGTTGAGTCAGGTTGCCGCAAGGTTCCAGGTGCTGCTCCAGGTGGAGGGCGGGCAACGTCCAGGTCCCAGGTCCCCCTCCTCTTTGTGGTTCTTCCGCTTCCCATCAGACGTGGCTTAGACACACTGCCCCATGGAGAAGTACATCTGCAAAAAAGAGAAGGGTCTTAAAACGGGGCATGCGTCCTCACTCTTCTCTGCCTGAGGGGGTCCATCCATCTTTTGAAGGGCCATGTCTAGCCCAGGTCTGATCCAGCACTGGAAGGGTCCTCTCCACCCTGAGCAGCCGCACCTGGACGGTGGCCTCTGCCGGAGGCGCTCCTATCACCGAGGGATGGTCTTCCTTGGTGGAGAGAGAAATCTTGAAATACTGACTATTTGGGTTTTTTTAAAAAATCCTTTCTGGTTTTGCCTTTTGGCATAGGAATTAGCACATGCCTTTCAATGTAAATCAGTGTCCTTGTTGATCCTCGGTTTGGCTGTTGCGGGTCCTCTTTCTTGGTGACGCGGAAGTGGCCGCTCTGCTTCCAAGTGATGCAATGGGGTGGTTTGGTTTATTTACAGGAAGGAGCGCTGTCGTGGCATCCACGTGACTCCTTCCCCTCTTTGCTCACTGGGTGGTTCTCCCGGAGCCTTCTAAAACAGTAGCTCGGGGTCTGGAGGGGCTGCCATGACAGGGGAAAGGCTGGGGAGCTTTCCTGCCCGCTGGTGACCTGAGCATGGCATTAAAGCAATGGGCTTCTCTTCTTTGATCAAAGAATCTATGCTGCTGCCCTATGCAGGCTGCATTATTGGGGGGCCTAAGAGAAGAAGTGAGAGCTGGACCATCAAGAAGGCTGACCGCTGAAGAATTGATGCTTTTGAATTGTGGTGCTGGAGGAGACTCTTGAGAATCCCCTGGACTGCAAGGAGAACAAACCTATCAATTCTAAAGGAAATCAACCCTGAGTGCTCCCTGGAAGGACAGATCCTGAAGCTGAGGCTCCAATACTTTGGCCATCTCATGAGAAGAGAAGACTCCCTGGAAAAGCCCCTGATGCTGGGAAAGTGTGAAGGCAAGAGGAGAAGGGGACGACAGAGGACGAGGTGGTTGGACAGGGTCACCGAAGTGACCAACATGAATTTGGCCCGACTTCGGGAGACAGTGGAAGACAGGAGGGCCTGGCGTGCTCTGGTCCATGGGGTCACGAAGAGTCGGACACGACTAAACGACTAAACAACAACAAAGAGAGAAAGCAGTGTGGGCTTGTAAATGACCTTTTTTGGAGGGGGATGTTTTGAAAAAGGGAGAGGTGGCACCTCCTCCCACTCTTCCCAGGCCTGGGGAAAAAAAAACGGAGACCATCTGCGTTGGCTGTGTTCCCAGCTCCTAAGCCCGTATTCCCAGCATAATATTTCCTGAAAGGTCCCTGCTGGAGCTGTTAAGTACACAGGACGGCTGAACAGATTCTGTGTGAGTGAGCATATGAGAGAGCGTAGGCACACATGAGCAAACCAATTGGGTTCCAACCCCATCTTTAAGAACCTTGTGGCACCGTGCTTAAATTGCAGCACTGCACCCCCAAACTCTGCTCACGACTTGGGTGGTTCGATCCCAAGTAGCCGGCTTGAGGTGAGCTCGGCTGTCCATCCTCCCAAAGTCGGGAAAGTGAGCCCCCCCCCAGCTGCTGGGGAGTGGGGGTGTTGCAATGTGCAGCCTGCAAAATTAAATTGTAAACCACCCCTAGAGAATACTTTAAGTGGGGTGGCATCTATGCAGCACACTTTAATAACAACATCTACCCGGAAAATAGGATTTCGAATCAGCAGGAAATGTTTCTGAAGGTTAAGCCAAGCGGGCACATTTGAGGGTTGACCTTGCAGGTCTGGAATGAAAAGTTGGACAGATGTTCTTAAAGGAAGGTGGGTGTCCAGGAGCAACCCACAACCTTCAGGACGAACTGGACGGACCGGCACGCAACATTTCTCTGCAAGCCCCTTTTGAAGGAAACTGAACCACAAAATTTCTTGCAAACTTCAAGCCCATCGCCGTGGCCGAGCAGACACTTATAAGAGGTATGGAAGCAGGACATGAGCACAGCTGCACCATCCTGGCCATGTTTCCAAGCATCTGCGACATAGCAGGATACTGCCCTGCTTCCATACCTCTTGTAAGTGTTTGCTCAGCCACGGCGATGGGATTGAAGTTTGCAAGAAATTTTGTGAGGAGTATATCCTAGGAGAGATGCCAGATCTGATGCATCCAGTTCCCTGGGATTTGAGAAGCCAGGGTTTTGGCCCGTGCAATATCTGA